AAAGATCCTTAATGAAAAACCTTTCCAGAAATGGATGTGCATTGTGGAACTACGATTGAAGGATATAATGCAGCTGAAGAAATTTCTCTATTTGAGATAACTCATCCCAAATATAAAAATTTTCTTTTCCCATACGTTTGATAGGAGCATTTACCTATGCAGTTGGAATTGTTTCTTGGCACCTTTTGTGAACAATCATCCACTATTTCATCTTTTCTTTCTTTTTTATTTATTTATTTTAGATGCTTTTGCTAATAAATGTCATCATAGATACTGTCATCTTCCTTTACTCCGTCACTATTATTCAACTGTTTATAAGGCTTTCTATACTTGATACTCATGCTTTTTGAGCTAAAAAAATTTTTTTGTTTTTAAAATCACAGTATTTTCAAAGTTCCACAAACTTTTTCTTCACTCAACAAATTTGAAAACCAAGTTTAAGAATGGATATGAAGTCAGAACAAAAGAATTAACTGAAATCATGCAGCATCTATAAATCAGTAATATCAATTACAGGAAATGTAGCAATGCAATGTCTCCTTCTCGTTAATATCCTCGCAATTCTGAAGATTTGGGTAAATTGAAACAAAATGAAACGAAATTGTGTAAAAAATATTCCCACTGCTTTGCATAAATTAATTTTCACAATGCAATATAACAACTAAAATGAAATTATTTAATATAGAGGATTAAACGGTCATTGTTATTGTTGCATTATTACAAGTGGACATAAATTATTAGTATAGATAATTTGCCACTCCATTTATACAGACGATACTTTCACAGTATCTAACAGAAGTTATTGAGTCGTCTATATTAAACGCTTTTCCACGAATTTCACTCGGTAAGTTCTATTTCATTTATTTCGATCGAGAATGTCAGCTGTTTTCCAAAAGTTTCGTGTCACAAGAAAGGTTTTGAAATTTCTAGTAAATGTTCAAATAAGTAATTTTTTTGAAATAAAATTATCTTCCAATCAAATTTGTATAAATAAAGTTCGCGCAAATACTACTTTATTAGTCATTTGAATGAGAGATATCCCATCAATACTATACTTGCAATTGTTTTCTTTTTCAACATTTAACACATTTAGAAAAGCATTTACTGAGTCTTTATGCAGCAGGCGGTGTTATCCATTGCATTAGTAAATTTGAATATTTTTCAGAATTGGCAAGGAATTATTCTCTTCAATATGCATTTTATATATTTTGCCTTCTTTTTCTTCCAATTGAGTAACATTCAAATTACTGTATGTTTACTTAAAGTTAAAAATACAATACAGCGCTGCAATATTCTGAAAATTTCAAAATTTAAACAAAATGTAAGATAGATAATTTCATATAATTTGAGGAAGCGGAAATGGAGCAAATAAAGCCACTGAATTTATCAGTATTAGAAATGAGTGAGGAACGGAATGTACCAATAGGTTTGTCAAGGAGAGAAATAAGAGGACGGATGTGGTTGTCATTAGTCAATGAAGCGAGTAGAAGATACAGAGAATTAATGAATTCAATAAACGAAGACGAGATGATTGGGAGAAGCTGAGAAAAAGAGAAAAGCTAATGATGCATTTTATGGTAAAAAAGGTGCTATTGTTGATGATTAATAGTTGAATTCCTTTCATTTACTTATTGTTTTATTGATAACAATTTATTATTGTTATTATTATTATTGATTTATTATTGATTTATTATTATTATTGATTTATTTATTATTGTTATTATTATTATTTGTTATTATTATTATTGCCTACTTATGAATTACTCATTCTTTTTGTCTCATATTAGGACCGTTCTTTTACCATTCTTTTGTTATTTATCATATTTTACTGAATAAAACTGCATGTCTCATATCATCTTCCACATCTACTAAACAGCCCATTTCATTATTTATGCACACATAACAAGCAGGTAACTTGCAAGCCAGCAGGTAACTTGCAAACCAGCAGGTAACTTGCAAACCAGCAGGTAACTTGCAAGCCAGCAGGTAACTTGCAAGCCAGCAGGTAGCTTGCAAACCATATGCAGAAAACCTGCAAGGAAATATCACTGCTGTTAAATTACTGATGAAATGAAAGTTTTTATATAAATTCTTCACTCGACTATGATATAAATAACATGGAATTGATCATTTTGATAATTTGATTAATTTTGATGATTGATCATTGATCATTGATCATTTTGATCATTCCCATTTAAATCAGTCTTGTCAATATACACCATAAAAATTCCCCCCGCCAAATGTTCTGTTTTCATTCCTATAATATTATTAATAATATCTTCTAAAAAATAAGAAATCTTGACTTGCCATATATTTCATGTTTTCGAATCGTTACAATTAAATTCACTTCATTTATTTGAATTTCTACAATTGATGCTCCAAAATGAATGCCAAAATTGTTCAATCGCCTACTCATAATTAATTCATTTCTTTGTGTAACAGAAATTAAGAGAAGGACTTTCCTTCAAGTTTTTCGCATATCTTATAAAGTTTATAGTAGAAAAGGAAGAATGTTATGGAAGGGATGATTGGTTTCATGGTGCAATAGATTTGTTTTGAATAAAAAAAAGTGGGAAGTTGTAATGGCTGAAAAGAGTTAATGAAAATAATTGAGATTTTTCTTTCCAAATTTGGGGGCAAAAAAAATGCATAATGGACGTGTTTTGATGAAGGAAGGCAAAACATACTTCATCACTTTTTTTTTATTTTGTTTTTTTTCCTCTTAAATATACACTGAAAAATTTTTGCATTTAACTGACTACTGAAGGAAGGAATAGAAACGACAAAAGGCACATCATCATAAAGCACCGGAAGATTCTGGATCAGAATATGCTATCATATGACAGTGCAATAACTGTTGTCATATTGCAGAAGAGTTTTATGAATAGCACTGAGAACTGTATTTAGATGCTATCATTAATTTAATTAATATTTTAGCGATAAATCTGGCAAATTTCAAAACATCGATAGTTTCATCTTAGTGCAATGTATTCGAAAGCATGGAATATATTCTGGTCGGAAAGCAATAATTAGAAGTAGTATGCTTACGCCTAGCTCTTGAACTCTTGCTATTGCTTCATCATTAAAACAATGAAACTTCAAAAGCTTGGTGAAACTCCCATGTCCTTCGCGAATTACTCTGCAACCTATGATTTCCGCGAACTGTTCTCTAACCCACGTCCTTCGCGAATTGTCCTGCAACCTATGTCTTCCTTCGCGAATTGTTCCACAATCTGAGATTTCCGCCAACTGTTCCTCAACCCAAGCTTTTCACGGTTTTTTCCCTAAACCGGGATTTTTGCGAGTTGTTCGATAACCCGGGATTTTCGCGAATTGTGATAGGTAGAAATTAAATGTCCACTTCAACATTTTATATTTGACACATAGAAATCAGATCTACTTCAATATTTTATATGCGATACGTAGAAAAAGAAATGAATGTGAAAAAAAATAAATCAAATTATTTATAAGGATAGAAATGTATGGAAATTTAAACTTATTGAATTAAAAAATGGCAAGAAAAATGAGTAAGGCTATATTTTGGAATTTATTTACTAATAAATAACGCTACAAATCATATTTAGCATGATAACTATGGTAGAATTAAACTTGTCACCCATTGAAAATAAAATTATTTGAATCAAATGCATAACATATTTCTTTTTTTTTTACCAAAAAAAGAAGAAATGATCCGTCTTTTTCAAATTTCATAAATTGAGTAGTTTAAATGTTAAATTAATGAGGGAAGCAATTCTTATACCGAAATTTCTTCGAATTCAAATAATTTAAAATACAATAATTAATTTTCATTTTCTTAATTGCGGAATCAGTTTTGCATTTTGTTTTCCCCTCTCTCTTTTGTTTGTCTTTCTGGTTTTCTCGACCTTTTTGTCTTATTTTAGATAAAATTATTTTAGGTAAGAATTATTTTTGATAAAAACTTTTTTCTTTTAATCTTTTAAAGCGAACTCTTTTTTTTCTTTCAAAAAAAAACACTTTTAAAATTTGTTTTCAGCCACACATTCGGAATTTATTATCTTCACCATTATCTTTCTCATTATTAATTAATTGTCATCAAAATTCTCCCTCACTTTACCTTTACAACCTTTTCCATTTCTCAACCTTCTTTTTCTTCACTTTCATTTCCATTTCGTTCTCTCTCTCTAAATACCATTAACAAGGAGGCATCAAATTATCGTTACCACTCATCAGACTCATTAATCTGCAAATTTTTTTTATCGGGGGAACCCTACCGTTATTGTTATCACTGTTATTGTTATCGTTATTATTGTTATTATTTTTATCGTTACTGTTGTTGTAGCAGTAGTTGTTGTTACTGTTGTTGCTGTTATTGTTGTTTCTGCTGTTGTTATTGTCATTGCTGCTGCTGTTGTTGTTGTTGTTGCTGCTACTGCTGTTGCTGCTGCTACTGCTGTTGCTGTTGTTGCTGCTGCTGTTGTTGTTGTTGTTGTTGCTGCTACTGCTGCTGCTGCTGCTGCTACTGCTGTT